ATTCAACGTTCAAAGTACAGCAGGACTCCCTGTCGTATCACATACACCACCATACGGTAACACTCTTATTTTGCATTTTTCAGGAAACTGATTGAACTCTGAACTAAGCCCTGCTCTTGCACAGAGACTGGAGACTTACTTGTCCTTTTATAACCCAGTCGTTTCTGTGCGTCCAGGAACTCAGTGGGAGCTGCTGACTCCGCAGAGCTGATCAGTGGTATTTTGCTTCATGCAACACAGCAGTTCATACCTCCTACTGACTTCGGAATTGTACTACTACTTTCTTCCACACTTGAATGTAGCTGTAGTCTGTTCTGTACTCACAAAGCAACTATAGCAGCTATATATATAAAATGATACTAAAACACTGAATGAAAAATAAACCTTGCTCAGAAAAGCAGTTCTGTTTTCTCATTATGGAAAGCAGCATGCTGGTTTGCATTTTGTAGTGTGATTTTCAAAGGCTTGCATGGTCTGCTTTACAAATATTGTATTTTTCTGAGATCATTTACCAGCCTGTAAAATTTATGGATAAAAAGACATTCATTCTTCTATTGCCTTCAGTATTGTGGAACAGTAAAATAATTTTGTGGAAGTACTGTAATGTCTGTTGGGTTTAGTTAAAACACTTACAAATAGAAGATAAATCTTCCCTTCTCCAGCATTATTTTCATCATTTTTTCCTTCTGTATTTCCAAAAGGTCTCTTGCACTAATGCATTTCAAAGGCATTCAGTTATGCAGCCCTACTTTAACTCTGCAAATGTCCGCGCTTACAACTTCCCATTACTGGCAGACACAAACTACTTAAGTTGGATAAGACTAATTATGAAGTGCCAGCATTGGCCAAAATCTAATGTTGATGGTAATTTTCAAATAGTCGACAACTAGTTTTCAACACCGTCAGTGCATTTTCCTGTTTTTTTTGTGGAAAACCAACAGAATAGCCTCTCTTACCCACTTCTGAAGTCCCATTCAGTTCCTCATTATAAATTACGGAAGTGAGAAAGAATGCAACGGTGGAGAGATTGCATCCCACACAATTTCAGCAAACCAAGAAAACATCTTGCTTGATTTATTGTTGAGTGCGTGAAAGAATAAACACATTTCTTAATGAAAGCGAGAAAGCACTCTGGTGATTAATAAGGTCCACAGAGGAAAAAAATGTACCCTTTTACCCAAAAGGTCGTTTACCACATTCAGATGTGGTGGTGTTTGAATAAATACCATATTCGTGACAGAGATTTCAGTATCGTATGAGTCAGTTATCTGAGAAAAGAAACTAAAAATTAACTTTCTATCATTGTATTTGGAATAAAAATGATCGTAAATAGGAATGCAGCCCCGTCCCTGAAAGCCAAACTTTTGTCACATAAAAATAAAAGCAAAATACAGTATTTCCCAAATCCCATTTTCCCTGGGAGGCTATTAAGAAAGTGGATAAAAGTGACTGGCAATGTCACCTGAAAATTTACCATCCCCATTCTAATCACAAACATATACGGCAGGTTGAAAAAAATCATCCTTTTAATCTAATTTCACTCTTTCTTCAGCAAGCACTGGAGCTCTGATTAGTTGAAGACGGTGTCCCAGCTCCCCGGCACTTCCCAGCGGCCAGGCTGGCCCGGCAGACCCGCCA